CAGGGTGTGTTTGGCCGCCCCTGCCACCAGGACGTAGTTGCGCCGAGATGAGGATGTCACGGCTGCGAGATAAAACCCACCCCAGGATGAGGCCTTCAGCATCAATGGCTCTTGGATGTTGGGAATCGCAATGGGGATAGGGTGTTTTGAGGCACACAGGGTAAGAAACCAAAAGTGGGGTCCTACCTGAGCTGGAGTAGTGGTAGAGCTCCTCATAGGGAGCGATGTGGACAGTGACGTTGTCCGGGAGAAACGGGACCTGGCCCTGGATGTGTGTCCGAAGGCTCAGGTAATTGTCTAGGCCCAGGCCCTCAGCCGTTTGGGTGACCCAGAGCGTCTCCTCCCCAGGGTAGAAGGTCACCTCCAGGCTCTGGGTGAATTCGGCACCGAGCTGGAGTAGTGGTAGAGCTCCTCATAGGGAGCGATGTGGACAGTGACGTTGTCCGGGAGAAACGGGACCTGGCCCTGGATGTGTGTCCGAAGGCTCAGGTAATTGTCTAGGCCCAGGCCCTCAGCCGTTTGGGTGACCCAGAGCGTCTCCTCCCCAGGGTAGAAGGTCACCTCCAGGCTCTGGGTGAATTCGGCACCTGGGTGGGAAAGGACATTGAGGGGCTGGAGCGTGGCCAGAGATGGGCGACGGGGCTGGGGAGGGGTCTGGGGCACACGAGCGATGAGGAGCGGCTGAGGGAGCTGGGGGGGTTCAGCCTGGAGGAAGTGAGGGGAGACCTTATCCCCTCTACAATTAGATTTGGTGTCTTCTCCCAAGGAACAAGTGATAGGATGAGAGGGAATGGTCTCAAGTTGTGCCAGGGGAGGGTTAGATTGGAAATTTCTTCACTGTAAGGTTTATCAGGCATTGAAATGGGTTGCCCAGGGAAGTGGTCAAGTGGCCATCCCTGGAGGTATTTAAAAGACGGGTAGATGAGGTTCTTAGGGACATGGCATAGTAGTGGACAGATTATGGTTGGACTCAATGATCTGAAAGATCTTTGCCAACCAAATGATGCTGTGAAAGGGAACGGGCGGCACTCGGTAACAGGATTTTTAGGGAATCCATCCCCAAATCACCCTTCCCCGTGCCGGTGACAGCCAGCCCAACCCAGGGAGGTGATTGCAGGAGCCCTGGGGATGCCCCAAACCCCCACCCACACCCCGGTGCCACCCCACTAGGTGCCACCTCCCTCAGGGGGGCACATCCCAACTCCCCACTCACCAGTGATGCTGAAGCCATTTTCTGCGCCAGGCTCCTCCACAGCGAAGAGCCACGCAAAGAGCCCTCCAAGGGGCAGGAGGGGCAGGGGGGCGCGGGCGGCCGGCAGGGGGAAACCGCTGACTGCCGTGT